TACTGCCCTAAACCCTCTTCTGCAACCCTGTCGGGCGCTCTGCCTACATCCGGAAGATGCTTCTGAGGCACTTGGCCGAGAGCGTTCCGAACTTTGTTCTGACTCCGATGCCGGACTGGGCGGGATTTGCAGGGTTGTTTGTCCTAAACCCCAACCCCTGAAAACCCCTAAACCCTAAAAGCCCTCAACCCTACAACCCCTAAACCCTTTATCAGGGCTTTGGGCTGTTTTTCCGGAATTCGGCATCCCTGTTTTTCTCTCTCCACTGCAATGGACTATGCCGACCGTGGCCATCCCCCTCGGGAGGAAGACCTAGGCCCAGGTATCGTTTTGCCCCGGAACTGAAGTAAATCTCCTCTAAGCCCTAAGCCCTAAACCCCAAACTCTACACCCTAAACCCTAAAGCCTAAACGGCCTAAACGGCCTAAACGGCCTAAACCCTAAACCCTAAACCCTAACTGAAGTCCCTCGGAAGTGTTAAGGCGACCTTGGCTGCGACATGATCGCCCAAATCCTGAACCCCAGAACTTGAACCCACCCTAAACCCTCAGGGTTTAGGGTGTAGGGTTTAGGGTTTAGGGAGGGTTCATAAGGTATTTTTTTGGTAAGGAGCTTTTTGCACGGAGAAAGGCTGACAGCCTGAGGTTCGAGGGTGTTCCGGACCAGGGTGTCGGAGGGAGAGAAGAGCGCCGCGATAGCATGCAGTGGCTTTGGGAGCAGCGGCTTTAGGGTTTAGGGGTTTTAGGGGTTTAGGGGTTTAGGGCCGGGTTTAGGGTTTTTAGGGGTTTAGGGCTGTAGGGCTTTAGGGGTGAGGGGTTTAGGTTTAGGGGTTTACTGTTGTAGGGTTTAGGGTTTGGGGTTTAGGATTTAGGATTTAGGGGTTTAGGGAGGGTGTAGATTGGTTGTGGTCTCAAAACCCTAAACCCGAAACCCCCCAAGCTTGAGGCATAGCAACAGATGCGAGGCTTTTGGGTTCACGGTGGTTTTGTGATTTAGGGTTTAGGGTTTAGGAGTTAGGGTTTGGGTTTAGGGGTCTCTTGCAGTGGCAGCAAACTATTTACTCGGGCCCTCTTCTGTCTACATATGCCTAGACCACGTACCCCGCTCTGGTACTCGTAACTGCTACGTGCGGGAAGGGGGACTAAGCCCAAACCCGGTAAACCCGGTAAGGGCTAGACTCCCTAGATCCTATTTACCCTAAACCCCTAAACCCTAAAACCCTAAAGCCCTAAAAGCCTAAACCCTAAACGGCCCTAAACCCTAAACCCTAAAACCCTAAAACCCTAAAGCCCTGAAGCCCTGAAGCCCTAATCCCTGCGAAACCCCCCCGGAGCAAAGGCCCGGTGATTACCCTTTTGGGACTTTCCGAAAATTAGGGGTACCTTATTTTGGGATCCTTATAATAAGGACTCTACTATTTAGGGTACTATACCCTAAACCCTAAAACCCTAAACCCTTTTTGGCAGTAGCACAGGACATCGGACTCTACTCCACAGACGTGCGCGAGGGCTTCGTGCAGAGCCTTGGCTGAAGGGTCCGGGGGTTTGGGGCCCAGGCTCAGGGCTTTGGGTTCAGTGCTTTGGGTTTAGGTTTTGGGTTTAGGTTTTGGGTTTGAGGTCTAGTTTTTTTTTGTTTTTCTCCGGTTGAGGGGCTTCACAGAATAGGGTGGCTTGCTTAGGTGTCCTTCTAGACAGGATCCCACTAGTTGCGGCCTATTTCGGTTCCCTCTTTGCTTTCTCAAACTCCCAGGCGCGTAGACTTACTTGGCCTCGCCTCTCTTAAGATGTGTCTTTACATTGCTTAGTTTCGTTTTTGCTCTATGCTACTTTAGTAAAGTCTATCTTGCGTCACTTCACATGGCCTACGTAGCTCACTAAGTGCATAGCTACATTTGGCGAATGAGCTGCTGAAACATGGCGATAAATAGAAGCAGAAATAGAAGCGCACACACATGTGTAGACATTGGTGTGTGTGTGTGTGTGTGTGTGTTTGTGTGTATGTACTACGTAGATATGCTTCATTTTCGAGGTTATACATATACACGCACTCATACACTTAAGCAGACATATTTACCTAGCGACTTAGCTAGGTTAAAAGGTTTGTAGATATGGAATCTAGTTTTTTGACGATATGGCTCTTGCACGATGTTCAAGCCCCCACATTGTTGAGACTGGCATGGTTGGAGTATGTTCAAACGCTCGCACTGTTTACCGGCGTGTGAAGACGATGCGTGCTTTAGGGATGACGGAAACAGAGTTTTCTAGAGAGAGAGAGAGAGAGAGAGAGAGAGAGAGAGAGAGAGAGAAAGAGAGAGAGAGAGAGACAGAGCAGAGACAGAGTAGAGACAGAGAGACAGAGAGAGAGAAAGAGAGGGACAAGGAGAGAGCGAGTGAGTGAGCTGAAACCCTCAACCCTAAGCCCTAAAATTGATTCTGGCCAGGTCATCTCTGACAGCGGTTTTGTTCCTAGCCCTTAGGCCTTCAAGCGACGGAACCCCTAATTACCCGCAGTTGTACTGTAGTCCATTTAAAAAATAGATAAAAATAGCCTTTGAGGGCATTCCTGCAGCAAAATGCCTCCCGAACACATTAATATTAAGACTGGGCGGGCCTGCAAACGTCGGAGGACGAGATTACTTACATTCGAGAGTACTTACATTCTTAAGGGTTGGCAGTCCTCTTGGTTCTGACGGCCGCTTGCCGCTGGGAATTTGGACGGTGTTCGTTTTAGGGTTTAGGGTTTAGGGTTCGATGCAAGCTTGTGGAGATTCGATTTGGGTCCTAGCAGCGGAAGCCCTCAACCCTGAATGTGTGAACTTGCCCTAGAATCCCTAAACCTTGAGCTTCCTAAACCCTATAAATCTTAATCTTAGAAAGCCATGAAGGTTAAACCTTAAACTTCCTAAACCCTATACATCTTAATCTTAGAAAGCCCGGAAGGTTGGTGCTGATTCAATTCCGGCTCACCACGCCTCATGGTCGCAAGCAGCTGTTCGCAGCAAGGCCGAGACTGATGCTGTGGGGCCCTGCCATTTGGGGCGCTTCATTTTTCTCTTAGTCATGAGTGCTCCTAGCCAACATTCATTATAGAACCCTTCAAAGGAACCCCGATTCTCATTTTTAAGGTGCCGACATTATTAAAAGGAACCGAACCCCTACTCTAATGATTAAGGCCCCTATAGTACCCTTAAAAGGAACCCTTAAAGGAGCCCCCCACACTAATTATTGAGGCCCCTGTAGTAGTGCTTCAGGGCTCACGGACCTCCTTCGTGGGACATTTCGGGGAGCTCTCGGAAGTACTTCGATGTTAAAATTAGCTTAGGGTTTTGGGTTTAGGGTTTAGGCTTTAGAGGTTTATGGCTTTAGGGTTTCAGCTGGCAGGGTAGGGGCTGCAGATGGTTCTAAACGGGATGCTATCAGGGTTCTCTACGCGTTTGTGGTTGAAAGCAGGTTATTCTCAGGGGGTTCCATAAGGGATGTGCATACGAGTTCTGTGATATTTAGGGGCGTGTCTATTTGCTGTAATTTATTCCATACTTCCTCGTTGTTACTAGAACTGCAACATAGTATAGGCCCAAACCTATTCCAATTATCCAGGCCCCTGTGTTGGGGTCTTCGGTTGCTCGAGGTGATGTTTCGAGTTCTGAGGTCCAGGGTTGAAAACTCAGGTTCTTAGCCATTAAGCCATCAACTCGAGACCCTAAGCCCCAAACCCTTAAACCCCAAACCCTAAGCCCTAAATCTTAAACCCTAAACCCTAAGCCCTAACCCCAAACCCCCCTAAGCCGTAGACCCTTCAGATCAGAAGCCTGGAGGCTCCATATACACCACCCCCAAGGGTCCAAAGGACCCAATAATTAGGTACTTAGGTCTCGGATAGTAGTTATGTAGGTTACCATCTGGGAAAGTATATGATTATTAGGTACTCGGACCCTAAGATTACTATGATGGAAGTAGGCTCCCCAAAACCAGAATAAGCATGGTGTTTTGGTGCCCAATTCCACACTGGTAGTCTATATGAGGCCTCTGGGAGGTATCAAATAACTAAACCCTAAACCTTAAACCCTAAACCTCTAAACTCTAAACGCTGAACCCCCTACGCCGTAGACCCTTCAGATCAGAAGTATCCCACAGAAAACCCAAAGCCCAAACCAATCTTATCAGACCGGCAAGTTCCCTGAAAGCCTCGGCATGGATCATCGCTTACACGCCGACGGTCGCTCTGGATGTCTTCGAGTCGACGTCGATGTCGATGTCGTACGTCCCCAAGACAATGGCTGCTGACTGAACTTTTGGCACCGTCGTGAAGAAGGTCGACGCAATCAAGGTGAACTTGGCCGTGCTGACCTTTCCGGAGAAAAGCCTTAATGCCATTACGTGTGACCTCAATCGGACCTTTTTCCAGAAGGAGGAGATCATCGCCATCCAAGAGATCGAGGAGCTGCAGACGAAGCCTACATTTAAAGGAAACGACAGGTGGGGAGATTAGGGTAGATAGAGCTTCCAGGTCCATAAGGCTTCCATAAGGTAATATAATATAGACCTTCTATAATAAGGCTCCTATAACGGTAACTACCCACCTGAAGATGTCCTAGATACATCCTAAACCCAATGCCTTGCAGCCGAAAAATCCCTGCAAACCCTCTTTTATACGCCCTACAAAAGCCCTGCACCCTGTCAAGCCTGAAAATCCTCAGCCCTAAACCCCCTAAACCCTAAACCCCCTAAACCCTAAACCCCCTAAACCCTAGACCCTAAACCCCCTAAACCCTACTGTAAGGGCGGTTTGGTTATAAGTTGACTTGTCGGGGTTATATTTAACTTACGAGGTGCAGATTACAAGTCAGCTTATAAGTAAGTTATAAGTCTTACTGTGTTGTGCAACTCGAAGATTTTCAACAAACCGACTCTGAAGCGAGAAAGCTTAAAAATCGCAGAAATCATTGCCAAACTCAAAGCGGCATATAGCACACACGCACACAAACAAAACCAGCTTTTTGCTCAAGACAGCGTGATGATATCATCGTCAGCTCGATGCCACCACTGTGGCAGCCAGTACGGTTCATCGGCTCTCACTTTCCACAGTTTCTGCTTTTGCGTGAGCTGCCATCTGCATCCCCACGCATGGTCAGAGAGATGCTGCAAGCTCTGCAGGAGCAGCCATAAAGCCTGATCATCCCCGAGGCATTGCAACACTACTCCGGCATCCTGCTTGGAGAAGATGAGGACATCACCCACGGAGACTGTGCTCTGCCACATGGTCATGCTTTTGGCCTCAAGCAGACCAGATGAGGACAGGGCCCGTCGCAGATTGCCGGCAGCTGCGTTGCAAGGCTCGTTCAGCTGCCAGCGTGCCATTCCTAATTTCTTTTGCTGGTGCACCGTTGTCTCGAGCATGATAGTCAAGCATTTTCTCAAGAAGACTCTGGGGACTTTAACCTTGGATTGGTATCTGTCGCAAAGGTTTTGCTTGTAGATCTGGTGTTTTGCTTCATGCGTCATGCAACTTGGCATCATTTTCAAGAGCACACACCCCTCAGACAAGTGAAAGCGATGATGGTGCTTAGGCCGCGTCTCGTCGGCGCCATAAGCATCAACATAGAGTTGTTGGTGCTTTTCTTCAAATTTCCGCAAGTCTTGAACATCGTCCTCTCCTAGAGGCCGGAAAGCAAACTGCAACCGTCGTATCTCTGAGTGAAGGTCAGCGAGGCCGTTGAAACTGGCCAGCTCCTTCTCCAGAAGACCGCGGGGCCTGCAAAGCACCTCGAGGTAGTACCGCAGCAGCGGGACCAAGGCAGAGGCATCTTCGGCTTGCCCCTTGTACTGGCCGTCCGCCCAGAGTTTCTCATGGAACAAGCTGCCAATATAAGCGGGACGTGCGTGATTGGAGTTCCCAGGGCCGTACCATTTAGTGGCTGTCACTGTGTCCTTCAACATTTGCAACGTCAAGCCAGGGGCTTGTTGTCTGAATGCTGCCCACACATTCGCCACTTCCCATGATATCAGGCCTTGGTGGTAGTACAAATGCATGCTGTCAGCAGCACAACAAGAGACCGGCAAAATCTCACGTGCGACTTTGTCATGCAGCAAGGCCTCCGGCAAGCATTTAATACCGGAGGTTTTCACGAAGTTTTTTATTTCTTCACCTTTTTGGAGAGTTCGCAGCTTGTCTGCTGCCGCCCAATGATCTTCGTCAAGAGCCTTTACAAACTTCAGCCGTGAGTGCTCTGAGTACTCCACGAAAGGGGCTCGTTCAACCTGCGAGTTCTTTCGCAAGACATTGGTGCAATGCACACAGCATCGCATGCCATTAGAGCCCGTGATTCCAAGGCATGCTCGCTGTGCATCATAATCGCACAACAAGTGGCAGTGCCGAGTCAAAGCCGTCGCTTTCGTGACGCCATTGAAGACAAGACTGAAGCCGCCATCAGCAGACTGCCAGATGAAGCGCAAGATGCGTGCGAGAACTGCAGACAGGCCTCCGGCTGCTCGCTCCGCCTCCTCGTGCTGCACCATGCCCACTGGCAGCCAGCACTGCTGCAGGTGGGCACTGGTTCTCAGCTGCGAGAAGGAGGCATAAAACAGAGTTGCCTTTTTCCACTTATGGACCGCAAGGATGTTTCCACCTTGTGCTTCGTCATGATATAGAATCATTTGAAGTTGCGGGTCGTGCTCTAGGCCAGTGAAGAGGGCTTGTGCAAAGGGCGGGCTTGTTGTAGTGAGGAACTGCAGGAGCCGCGGTATGTGTGCTGCGAGCACAAATACCGGTGTGGAGTCTGCGCCAGCTGCAGGCACTGCAGGCAGTTCCAGTTCTTCAAAGCAGCAGCTGGATGGCAGGCGGTCTCTGTTCACAGTGTCCTGAAAAGTTTTTTCCTTTACTGCCTTCTCCGGGCAAAACGTATTCCACTGTTGCAAGACCTGCGCAGGAACGGTGTTTGGCGCGTGCAGGGCTTCTGTCAGTTTCCGATGGCTTTCCGGCGACAGCGCCCGCTTCCGGCCCATGTTCCTTCTTTTCCCATGAGCCCTTGGAGAAGGGCGGGACAGGAGGCAAACTTGAGCACCAGTGGGCTGCAAACAGACAGACAAACTGACGGACAGCCTCTCCTGCATGGACACACACACACACACTCTCTCTCTCTCTCTATATTTTTTTTTGTATACATATATAAGCTTTATATAGTTTATAAGGGCTTATATGGTTCACCTGCACATACAAGGAGTTGGTCAACCCTTTGTTTTTGTCCCTTCGCAGTCGGTGGATCGGCTCCCCTGCCGGTGCTGCTTTACAGACATGTACAGGTTGCTCAGGCAGTTCGGCTAGCGGTCGGCGTTTTTCGGTTTTAGCAGTGGTGGCCCGTTCTTCGGCTTCACGGCGGGCGCATCGCAGAAGGTGCTCGGCATCTTTCAGAGCCGCCTGTACCCCCGCTTCTGTACGGAGACACGTGTGGGGCAGGCCTCGCTGCTGCCGCAGCAGGGTCTCCTTGATGTCCTGAAGGATATATCGGTGTTCTAGGAGGGAAGCGAGCGTGATGTCCGAGAGCTCTTTGCAGCCGAGCAGAGGCCACATGTCTGCTGCCAGCAGGTCAGCATGCTCCACAATCTCGTTTGTGGTCATGAGGTCTCGCCCTGTTCCCGGCAAGCCATCAGCCGAGCTGCTCGCCATGTCACGGATGCCAGCCTCGGACTTCGTCTCTTCATCAGAAGAAGAAGAAACCACAACCGGCCCCAAGTCTCGTTCCGATTTGAGCATTGCTTTGCGAATGCTCTCACGGATGTCCTCATTGCGAAGCACCTGTGTGAACACACGGCTTAAAAAGTTTATACAGACCCATAATAATACAAGCAAAATACATGGATGCCTCCTTGCCATGTCGCAAAAGGACAGAGTTCGCAGCAGCATCGGCCATGCTGCTTCACGTAGAGGCACCGGACACTTGGCAGAGGACACTTGAACCGAAAGCTGTATACGAAGCAGCAAACAAATAGCAGAGAGTGTACACAATACATGATGAGAAAAAAATTAAACATGTGTTTATATTAGTATTATATATTATTATTATTATTATGATTATTATTACTATTATTATTATGATTATATATATATATCTTTGGTGTTTCTCAATGGGATGTGCGTATATATGTAGACCCATATATATATATATATGACCCGAAACCCTAAACCTTCTAAGCCATAAACCCAGCCTTATAAATCCTTTTGTCGTTCGCTCGTGGTGCCGGCGGCGAAAGGAGTCTCCGTTAAAAGTTTGCATGCCGTGAGTGGGCATTGCGGTGAGCCGGAGGAAAAGTGGCTGTGGGGAAAAAAGGCTGCAGATGCAGCAACTGATGATCGATGCATCAGATGTGCAGGCGCATCAGACCGGTATGCCTTCAGGCACCCTTCTGTCGTCTGCGCTTTGGGGCGGGCTCGCCCGTTTCCTTGGCCGCGGCCGTCGCTGCGGTCTTCTTTGGCTTTGGCTGTGGCTTCGGCGTCGCGTCGTTGACGTCCTTCTGCAGCTGCTGCACGGCCTGCAGAAAGCCTTTGACCATTTCCTGCGTGAAGGGAAGCTCGCCCAAAACTGCACCTGTTGCGTCGGAGGCAGCAACACACTGCTTGCCGGCCTTCAGCCACTCTTGCAGCTGCTCCCTCGCTTCTTGAACCCTTGTGCCCAAGTCCTCTAGCTTGTGTTGTGTTGCTTTTTGCTGCAACTTTTCCAAGGCTGCTTCCTTGGGCTGGAGTTTGGACAGAGCGGCCGTGGCTTCCGTGCACAAGGCCCGGTTTTTTCTGGCCGTCTGAGCGGCAGCTTGGGCCCGGGCCTTTTCTTCACGAGCCGCCGCTTGAGCCTTCTGCTTGTCGGTCTTCTCTTTCTGCTGCAAGGGCAGCGCAGGCTGCTTCGGCACGTGAAGCTCTGGCTCCGCAGCGGCCGTGCTGTCCTGGAGGCTTTTGCCTTTGCCCTTGCTTTGGCGGAGCTGTTTCAAGTCAGACTCTCGTTGGAGCAGTTCTTCTTCGACAGACTCTTGCACGTCCCTGCGGCTCACGCTTTTTGTCTGTACTTGCCAGGTCTCTTCTCCCACGATGTCTTTCTCGCAGGGGAATTTCCTAACGTGGTCTTCGCTGTATCCTTTGTTCAGCCACACGGACATCGGCAGGAAGGGTCCGCCGATTTCGGCGATCTTTTGCTGCGTTCGCCGCTCGATGCGGCTCTCCAGCAGGGCGGCACGCACCACAGACCACTCGTAACGAGAGCCTTGCTTGGTCGCGATGCACTTGCCGAAGAACTGCGCACGGTCTTCGCTGGTCAGGTTGTCCAGAGCACCAGCCCCGAGGTTGCGGAAGAGCACCTGCAGAAGACTGTTGCAGTCCTTGCAAAGTTTTTTTGCGGTGCTGGCAAGCTCCTGAGGCAGAAGGCTTTTCTTGCACTCGCTGCACTGCAGGCTTGTCGCCGCAAGTGCGGCTTCGGGCTCTGACTCTGCAACCACCTGGCCGGCCGCAGGCTGCAGAGGCACAGCGTCTTGCAAGTTGCTTGCAGCCATCCCTGCAGCGAAGGTTGGAAGCAAAAAAACTGCAGGTGCCGAGGATTCTCGAGCCTATGGCAGCGGCACATGCATGCTTCGAAATCTGCAAGACAACAAAGAGTCCGACTACGTCTGGACTACGTTCAGACTACGTCGCAGAGAATGCAGGAAATAGTTGGACTACGTTCCGACTACGTCCCGCCTATATAGTTTTCCTATGAAAAGCGTTGGACTACGTCCAGACTACGTCTGTTTCCTTAGCTGCAGGGTGGTTTTGAAGCTGGACTACGTCCAGACTACGTCGGTTTTCATATAAAAGCATGCTTTTTTTTACGTCCAAACTACGTTCGGACTACGTCCGATTTTTCATGGCCAGGGCATGGACTACGTCCGGACTACGTTCAGACTACGTCGGTCTGCAGAGAAAACCAATGTTTTTTCTTCAGCGAACAGCCCAAAAGCTCAGTCCAAAGAGTCCAGGAAAGACTCGGGCTCGCGAGAATCTGCAGCATTCGCCAGGGAAGGCTGGCTCTGCAACCCCTGGCCCTCACCCTGTGAGGCCTGCAGGCCCGCGTTCATCGAAGGCTGGCCCTGCAACCCCTGGCCCTGACCCTGTGAGGCCTGCGGGCCCGCGTTCCTGCGGTTGCAGCCACTGGTGTGACAGGTTGTGCCGGGTGTTTGTCTGCACAGCCTGCAGCAGTATCGGTGACCCGGGCCGGCATACGGTGGACAGCCTTGGCATATACCGCCAGCACGACCCACCTGTTGAGCGAGGCATCTCTCGGTGTGGCCTATACCCAACCGACAAGCACTGCAGCAGTGCCTGTGGGAAGCGGAAAAGACCCACACATGGCAGCCATGGCGACGGCACACGACAGCCATGGCAC